CTCCTTAATTTGAAGATCATTGACACGATAGGCTGTAATGAGTCCTTCAGAAACTGTTATGATCTACAGTGACAATCTCTGCACCTAATTCACAGATTATTGACAAGCACTGTGGGCTCAATGGTGTCAAGTTGTACTTGTGGTTTCAACACCCTTCAGCAACCCACATAGCAGCTGGGCCCTGGATTAGGACCCACAGCCAGGCAGCGCTTATCTGTCGTGCTGAGTGGTGGAAAGATGTGTATCTGTCTATACCTCAGCTCCTTGAAGCCGGGCTGGGCTTTCTCCCTGGCGCCTCCGTCTGTCTCAGGGTTGGATCAAGGGAACCAAAGGATCTTCAAAGTGGGAAAACAAAGTAAAAGAGCAAACTTGATAAATGAATGTCGGCCTTAATAATCAGACATTTTCTCCACCTTCAAACAGCCACCAAACTCTAAGCCATACACACTGGCTTTCAGAGTGAGGCTTGGGTTCAACCAGGAAAGGTGTTAGGGATGGAGGGGAGAGAGGGCAGAGAGCTTGACACGGACTCCCTGGGCCCAAGCTGGGCTGGCCCATCCTCCTGGATCGTCCTCAGAATCGGGCAAGATTGACTACTTACAAAGCAGGGCGCCCAGCCAACAGGCGCGGGCTCAGGCCTGGACGCTGAGACAAGAGACCAAAACTGCCCGCCCCGCCCCTAAAGGGCGCTTTGCTGCTGCGGAGAACCCCGGGCCGTTGCCAGCCGCGCAGGCTCTGCCTGCAACTAAGGAGTCCGTCACCCGCTGCCCCCTCCCGGGCCCCAGAGATGGCAGGGCTGCCTTCCCGCTGGCCTCAGCGGGGCGTGGGACTGTGGCGGGCGCTGAGGCCGCCTGAAACCACAGAAATGACACTGCGCTGGGAGACCTGGGTGGCCTTCCCAGGCCTAGGCCACCCACTTGTTTAGTCCTCTTTCCTAAACTAGGGACTGCGTTTTCTCCTTGGCCCTGGAAAACTGGGGACTTCCTGCCCACCCGCAGCCAGGTGCGGCTCCTCCCTCTGCCTTCTCCCTACAGGTCGGGACCCCCGGGGAGGGGAAGCGGCCGAAATCTCCGGGCCTCTGGCATTGCAGATTCGACATCACTTCCGAACAAAAGGCATACATCCCCCTTCGCGGGTCGCCTCCAGGATTCTGCCGGCTTTGGCCTCCCCACGCCGCGGGCAGCCTTGGACCGCGGCTGTCAGCGCTCCGGTTGTTACCTTACGCTCTTGGCCCTGGTTCCAAAGCTGGCCCGGACTTAACATATCCGTAATGGGGACTAGCCTTTCGGTAAAGCAAAGGGTGGGGGTGTCTGTCGCAGGGAATCCCGATCGCCCGTCATTTCTGTAGAATTCCGAGTAAAAACTGATCAAAAGCCTCGATTCTTTTCCTGCCACTGTATTCCAACTCATTTATTGAGAAACATAAGCTGAGATTCGATTCTGCAATCAGATAGAGAAGGCATCGCACCGAACAGCAATTCCCCTGAAAACACAGTCTCGGATCCGCTGATTTCGGGAGGTGGGAGGAATAAAGATCAACATAAACAACTTGGGTAGCCACAGTATTAAATATTTTAAAAAGTAATTCTGTCATGAAAATTAAGCCAGTTTCCTTCAGTAGGCACTCTTAAAAAAAAAAAAAAAAAAGCAAGCCCTAAACTTCTTAAGGTTTTTATCTAAAAGTTAAAATTGTAAGCACATCCCTGAAGATCGAAATCAGAAAACACCTTGTGAGGTCATACGTGTTCATTTAGTGCTTGAATTGTTTCTATTTGATTTTAAACCTAAACAAACCCATATTTTCCCACTGTTTTAAATTCAGAGGATGTGTCATTTTTATATCTTTCTGAAAGAATTCAGTGTGTCCTTTTGCCCTCACTTGCTGACCATAGAAAAAGTCAAAGCTCTTTCTCGTGTAGACAGGTAGTTTTCGGAAGTGTAAAAATACTCTTCTTCCCCTAGGATAATTTGGATTCCTGGTCAATGAAAATGCTGAATTTCAAAAGAAAATACTCTTTATCATTGGCACCCTTTGCCTGAAAACCTAGGGCTGAGATAAAAGAAGAAAGGTGTCGGGCACCTGTTTCTTAAACAGTATCTGGAATTTAAACACTAGCCGGCAAAGGAAAAGTTTGATCAAGATTGGTTTGGGGATGGGAAACACCCAAAGAAAAGACTGGCCTTCTAATTACACTCTGAAAATAAACAAATAAAAAGGACGAAGTTATTTCATTTACTCAGAAACAGTTACAATACTTGAAGGACCTCCGAGGGCATTCAAGATGCTGCTGACAACGTCAAAACAGCAAGCAGCAACAGCATCTTCCGTTTTATTTTTTGAAATGTGGACAGAATGGGAGAAGTAACTTTTGCTTGGTTCTCCACTGCTGCAGAAGAAAGTTCTGTTTTGTTTTGTTTTGTTTTAAAAAAATCATGCTTCTCTATCTTGTTTTACCATTGAAGAATCTTTAAAAAGAGTCCTAAACCCAAACTGGGGTGGGGAGTGGCTGGGATTCGAGGAGAAGGAATAGGTTAGTCTGTATTTTTTTTATTGAATTACAGTTATATTCTCTCCTTTTTATATTTATTGAATTAAAATTATATTATCTTTCAAGAATATAAAAACTTTTTTCCTTGCCCCATCTCCTTTTTGGAGGGTAATAAAGAGTTTAACCTAATCCCAGAGCAAGGTTCTAGTCATTTCCAGGACTGGCGCTGCGCAGTTCCTACTGTGTCCAACAGGGGGCGCTGGAAACGAACCTGCGCGGCGGCTCAGCGCCGCTTCACATCTGAGCCGGGTTCCAGCCCCGGAAGGCGAGAGCCGCTCGCCGGGTCGAGTACAGAGCTTTAGTCTTCGTGGATAAAAAGAGATTAAAGGCTAAATTCTTTTTTTGGGTGTGTGTGTTGGGGGGGGGAGGGTTATCAATTTTAACCAACTACGAAAATGTAGAGCTTTTTATCCTTTGATGTTCTCATAAAGAAACTCCTATCGGTTGAGGAATTACACGGTTTCTGAGCCAACACTGCAGCTACAGTGTAGGGGAAATTATTTAATTAAAAATATATTTTTCCATCTGTTCACATGATCTTTTTAGAAGTACTTAAAAAGCTGACACTGATCCCTTTGGCCTGTTAACCCTGCCCCAAGTTTCAAATACTTCGGCTATTTCGAAGGCCCTTCTATTAATTTGAAGGGGAAAAAAAGAGACCCAAATATTTAAATGCCCCCTAAACAGTTACTCCTCTATGTCCCTTTTTTTTTTCTTTCTTTAAACAGGGGCTTTTATGTGATTGACACATTTCATACTGCCGATTCTGCAAAGCCAGGTATAAATGACAAGAAGCGGCTCTAAAAAAAAAAAAAAATCTGATGTTGGACTACATAACACCCATGTATAAGATGAAATCTAAATAAAATTGTGATCCACCCACCCCCGCCCCAACTTTAAAAAAAAAAACCTTCACCTGTATTTAAATAGCGTGTCTTTAATTACAGCAGTTGGGGATGCATGAGGCTGAAATGAAATTAGCAGTCATTACCAGTCCTTTAACTCTGTGGTGCTTTTGATCAGCACTAAATTAGCTTTCCAGTCCTAACAAAGACTCTACAGCAAGCAGTGGGCTGTAAATAAGACAGCGCGACCTGCCCTCAACACCTTTTCTCTTGTCAATCATAGCTCCATCATTCAGCCCAAGATTAACCTTTATCTACTAATTTTTTTTTTAAAGGAAAGACAGAAAGAAGAAAAGGAAAAAAAGAAAAAGGAGGCGGGAAGGAAAGCCCCCTGACCACCACATGTCGCAATAACAGAGGTTCCCTGAGAGCCCCCTTTAAATTGTATTATAATGAGCCCGTGTCAGAATCTGCAATTTCCAAATCACCCCTCCCCACTCCACCCCCCTGCACCTCTCGAATATATTAGAAGAATCAGATGCCGTTCAGGTAGGGAAGGAATCTCTTTCCCCGAATTACTAATTGGCCGTGGGCCACCCTCCATGAGTCGATTTGCCATTAGCCTCTCCTCCTCTATTAGGCTAACAAAATTTCAGGAGAGGACGGGAGGTTTGAGGAGAAAACACTGATAATTTTAAGGCATATACATAAGTTTCTGGGGTGAAAACAATCAATTTACTCCACTAATAGTGTCTAGTTTCTAAGTCTGCGGAGAAAAAATCACCAACAGCAACAAAAACCCAGCTGCTTTTCCCAGTACTGAATTAAGAAAGTAAAACATTGATTCGAATTGCCATTAGAGGGCGCCAGAGAGCAAGCCCCTATCACCCTGCGCGCAACTTCCCACAGTAGCCCTCCTAGCCTCCAGCCTCGCCATGCTCTGTAATGCCTTCTCTCAGGTAATATTTCCTGCTTATCCTGCCTTCTTGCACCTCTAGCCCCTTCACTGTCAACCTCTCATAAAGAATGAGGTGTCACCATGTCCCTTTCCTTCTCTTTTTTCACACCCCCTCCCCCACAACCACCACCAAAATGGTAAGAGGCCAGATGACACGGTGGCAACCCCATAATGCTATATACCTTTTGACTCCAATCACTCTTTCCACTCTATGTAACCTTGGTTCTTTGTAGGGACGAAATGCTAGAATTTAACATTTTTAAGATGGAAGCCTGAATTTTTCATTTCTGCATTTCTCTCTGGGGGCTCATGGATTTCTTCATTTTCATAGAAAAAGAAACACCCTCCCCCCCCCTTGCAAGGCAACTGATTATGTGCAGCACTAAAACTGTTCAGAAGAGAATAAAATAATGTCACTTCATTTCTGCATTTGTTAAAGACATCAAAATTAGCACTGAATTCCAAAAGTTAACGCTTTCAGACTTAAATCTGCCAGTGTTAAATGACTGCCACACAGGGTGTATTTCCAGATCTCTTAAAGGTCAAAAGAAAAAAAATAGAATGAGAGGGGAAGAAAGTGAGTTGGGGGGGTGGGCGGAGAGGAGTGAGCTAGCAGCGAATGTCAAAGTTGGGTTGCAAGCTACTTACATGTCCATGCCAGATCAGGGTGTTGTCTTGTAGCAGTTTGATTGGCAGGTAAAAAAGCGAAAGAACGTGAGGGCTCCCTGAGCCTCATGTCAGCCCAAGCTTGATCACTTCTCACCGGACAGAGCGAGTTGAAGGAGCTTGCAATTCCCCTCTCGTCCTCCATCCAAGGCACCGTGAATCCATTTCGGCTTTTCTTCCCCCCAGTGTCTCCATCAGCTTCCTGCCTTCACCCGCTTCGTCTTACACTAGTCTCCAAGACCTAGCCTAGCTTTGCCACTGCAATCCCCTGCAACAAGAAAAATCGTTTATGGCTTAAAACCCCAAATGGCTGATTTTTTAAAAGAGAGAGAGAGAGGGAGAGGGAGAGAGAGAGGAGAGAGAGGGTGAGGGGGAGAGAGAGGGGGAGCGAGAAGAATGCACCCAGAGAACAACAAAAAAGTCAGTTATCCTAACACTGCTCTATCCCCCCACCGTACAGAAGAAGAATTAAAAAAAAAGCTTTATGTTTTTTCAGTGGGTATTCAAAGATAATTTGATGCCATTGTTTCTGCTACAGATGGTTCTTTTAAATACAATAACACGGCTCTTTGTGCAGGCTACCCACAATAAAAATCGAAAGCGTTCCCCTGAATAACCATTTTGTTCTCTCTTGTATGGGGCCAACAAAAGATGCCGTGAGGTAATGGGTTCTGTTTATTGAAGCCATAGAATAGGGGTTTGATAAAGATTTTTTTAAAGCAGAAGACCTTGCAAGTTCGGGCCGATCTCTTCATATTTTTTTATTAAAATATTTATCCAATAGATTATTCCTTGGTGCAGCTGCAGGTTTCCTCCTCAATTCTTAATCAGCCCAAACATCTGTCTCTTTGAGGAGGCTTTAAAAAATCTGCAATTGTATCAGTGGTGCAGTAACCTTATCAAATCCTGAGTTTTTAGGATCAGTACAGGCAAAGGCAATGGAGTTTCAAGTTGATTTGGTCCTGATGGGGTGAGGCGCGGAGGGTTGGGGGAGAGGAGACACAACAACCCCAGATAGAGCGACTGAGGACATGAGGCTCCCTCCCTCCTTGGCCAAGTACAACTGCGTGAGCCAGACACACAGATCACTGAGGACTTGAGGTGCGTCTCCTGAGCTCTGCGAGCTCCCACCCACCTGTGCATGTTGGACAGGGGCTAGGCATGTCCTCTTAGCATGCTCGTCCTCTCCCCTGGTTAGGTCTCCAACCCAGGAACCCAGGATGGGAACCCAGGGGGAGGAGTGGAACAGCTAAAGGTTAGTCTCTAGCACCCAAAGGGTCCTACTCTTGGCTCTCTCTCATTCCCTGGTAGCTAGCTTTGACTCGTTGATTGCTATCCTGCCAGGGGACTGGTGGCCACTGTCCCCTGTTACAGTGCCCCATCCCCTCAGGCTTGTTCTTGCAGCCACCCCGCTTCTTCCTGAGTCCCACAGGGAACATCTGCTTCCCCTCAGGGGGGAAGCCTACCACCTAGACCCAGCTGAGGTCTGTATTCACGCTGAGAGAGCCCTGACCCCTTAGGCAATGAGGGAGCTGCCAGGGAAGCGCAGGGGAAGACGGCTAAGTTTATCTACCTTTCTATAGGAATTAATGCCAGGGCTCTCGGGCCTCCAATAGTCCAGAGTGACAGTAATCCACTTTCATGACTTCTGCTTTGTGTGTTGTCACTTGTGGCAAGACAATAGTCTGGGAAAATGGCTTTAATCTTAAAAACAAGTTTTCATTGGGTTCCCTCTCTCTGCCCCTGCCCCGTTTAGTCCTCCTTTTCTTCCCATAAACCATTCGAAATGAAAGAAAGATAAATGCTCAAATGAATCCCTTGACAAAACCCATCTTAGCTTCTAGTTTCCCTTTTGGAAACAGTAATGTTATTGGTTTACAGCTGGTCTGAAGTCATCTAATAAGGGATTCTTGGGGACTATTACTTAGCTGCCAATCAAGCCTTTCCTAGGAAACTTGAAAAACAAACACAAACCACAAAACAGAAAATTAAACAATTTCTCACTTGGTTGTTTCTCAATAATTCATTTTATATCTCAGTATGAACACCTTAATATCAGCTTAAAAAGAATGAAAGTCAGGGCAATACTAAAAAAGTTATGCATATCCCAGCAGTTTCTGGATGAAGAAAAATGTGCCTGTGTAAGTGTGAGTGTGGTGGGGGAGGGGGACTGGAGAGGGTAAATTGGGAGGGACTGCGTATTTGGTACTGTATTGTGTATTGTAGGAAAGAGGAGGCATTATGCAAAATTGAAAGTCAACAGTAGAAACACTTTTCCCAACCAAAGGTGGAGTAGGGAGGGCAAATGTGAAATGCTTAATCCAGCATTTCATAACTTTGCACTAAAGAAGTAATCCACTCAAATAACGGAATGATCTCTTCCTGCTTCCCTTGCCATATTTTTTCCGATCATTAAAACTTATAAAGGATGCCCCAACCTGATAAAAGCTATTTTCCTTTTTATAATCGACTGAAAGAAGAATCTGAACTGCTCTCCTCTCCCCACGGAGAGAGGGGTCTTGAGCCAAATCTAGGTCTGTAGGAGAGAAAGGCATCTGTGAGGAGCCTCAGGTGACCAAAGGTGAGCAAACCTTACACATCTTACCGATCTGTTCAAGCCGAGCATGAGGGAGTCTGCAGTCTCTCAGCTGGCCTCACTCTCTTGTGAGGGATCAGAAAGATAGTTTTCTAGGCAGGTCCCCAGAAGTTGTCTGAAAAGCTGTAATGCAATGACATTCTATCTGACATGGGGGAAGACTTCAGCCTTTAGCTAAAAAATGTGGACTGTGGTACGGTGAAGGGTCAAAGTGACAAACTGCCTTGGTAGGTGAGAGAATCAAGAACTAGTCGTCTGCAACTGGAAAACTGCTTTAAAAAACCCTTTCAATATGTATCCAGAAACTAAACTGACTGGTCAGCTCCTCTCTCCTTGGAGTAAACACACACACCAAAACGATTCTAGGCTATAGAAACGGCTTTCTGACCGGGTTGGGGAATCCGTGTGGACCGACTTACGGGCATTTATGGGTGCCTCTGAATTGGAAACTTCCCTGTTCATAAGTGCTTTGGGGCCACAGCCAAGCTCTCCAATGCTACAGGCGCAAGTCATCCTGGAGAGATGCGGGGGTGGTGTACCCCCCTACTCCTAGACTGGATGCTGGTGAGAGAATGGCATTCAGCAGGAATGACTTAGATTGAGGAAGAAAGGGAGGGAGGGAAGAAAGAAGGAAGGAAGGAAAAGGAAAGATAGACAGGAGATTAAAAAAAAAAAAAGAGAGAGAGATTTTAATCGGACTCATGGCAGACAGCATTAGCAAGAGGGGCACCCGAGACCTGGTTTTAAATAGGCAAGGGCTGCTTATAAGAAAACACCATACGCACGATCAGGGTCTGAATGTTCCAGCGAACCAATGACCGTACAAATCGCGAGTTCACAGAGATGGCATGGTGTCACGCTTTAGCCATCAGCTACAGCGAAAGCTGTAGCTTCTCCCTCCTTAAGCAATCAATCATTCACTAACTGGCCGCTCTACCCTCTCCACATGGAAATAAGTCGGCCGGCCGGCATGCCACCCGGCGCGGGCGGTCGGGGTCCGGGGACGCCGCTGGGGGCTCGGGCGCGGGGCGGCGGGCACGCTTCTCCCCTGCCCTGGCCGGCGGGCGCCAAGAGGACGGCCGCGCCACGTCGGAGGGGCGACCACTCGCCCCGTCTGCGGAGGGTGACAGCTGCGAGGGTCCATACACCACGGGCCGGGGAACAGGTTGCTCCCGTCAACTCGCCCAACACGGTTCAATTACGCACTTAGACAAAAACGCCGCCACTCCACGCGACCACCTGACGTGCCCTCCAAAACGACGGGGAGCGCCCCGGCAGCCGCCACCGGACGCTGCCCGGGGCCGCACGGGGCTTCAAGCCAGACTACGGATTGCAAGCTGGACGCCGAGAGCGCGCGCAGGTGCAGAGAGCGGAGACCGCCTCGTTCAAAGCCCCTGGAATGAGCTGCTGGCCAGAGCCTCGGCCGTCTCTCCTCCCGCTTTCCGGGGGCCCTGGAAAGCCGGGGGCGCCCGGACTGGGGAAGGACCGGGCTTCTCGGCTCGGGCGGCTGGCCAGGTCTCGGGGCCCTGCGGGCTGGGGCGGCGGGCCCGGTTCGCTCGCGCCCGAGCGCGGAGGCCCGGCTGGCGGGGCGGGGTCCCCGCGCGCGGAGGCTGCGCGCCCAGCGGCCTCGCGCGCCGCCCGGTTTCCCGCGCTCTCGGTCCCGCGGCCCAGCGCGCCTCGGCCCAGCCCGCGAGGCCTGCCCTGCGCGGCGCGGCCCGGGCTCCCTCCGGGAGGGAAGACGCCGGCCGAGGGGACTCCGACTGAAGCCCCGGTCCCACAGGCCTCTGGCGCCCGGGGCAGGCAGATCTCTCTGACTCGAGACTCAAAGGCTGAAGCGACCTCGGGAACCAGTGCTCCTCCGAGCGCACAGTGTGGCCACTTCGGTGTGCTCCCAGCGCGCCGCATGGAGCCACGCAGGCCTGGGAGCGCTGGGAGGTGGGCGTTCTCCCCGAGGGCTGGACAGGTCCCCACGAGGGGTAACAGGATGGAAAGTCGCGAACGGAGGGAGAGCCATCGAGGCGGCGCGCACGCGCCGTCACGGAGGAGGGCGTCTCAGGTGCGAGCCAAGACTGGGAAAGGCCGGGTGGCCAAGACGGCAGTGCGCCGAGGCGGTCTGCTCTCTTAGTGGCTACTCCTCAGCATGGTCTTCCTTCCCACCCGTGTTCAAACTTCTGGAACTCTCTGAGGTTCTCTCAGTCTTTGTTTTATGCTAAGAGTGATAATGGGACTAGAGAAAGGTGTGCTTTTATAACTAAGAGGAAAGTTGGAGGTAGTACAAGGCCTATGGGGAACACTCATCGATGGCCTCCTCTAAATTTTCCTGTTATATATAAAATAAAATTATACATGCAATCATACGTTTTGTGCTTATGCATTAACAGTATTAATTTTAAAATGTTAAACATTTAAAATATGCCACAGATTTTGAGACCCTTTTTTTCAATTTCCTATCTTATCAATATTTCAAGAGTTTTAGTAAATGGAAATTTCTCTAGCCTCTCAACCTCTGAGTAACAGGGTAGTGGAGTGAAAGGAAGGGACCAGGATATTCGTTTGGGGTCCCTCTGGCATATCTTTACCAGTACCATGCTCCCGGAATTGCTTCTGGCATCAGTCTAAGATAAATTAACTTGCATATTGAATAAAATATTATCATCTGCTGGACTTCAATAATAACCTAGACTGGGGATATTTTCCAAAGGTACACCTTGTGCAATATTGTAACTACCAGTACGTGGTTGGATTTGATAGGCTTGTATTCGAGCCAAAATTCCCATAGCGCAGTCCCATGAACACGCTTGCAGACCCAGTACGAAAGCTCTATGTACATAAACAGTTTGGAAAGCTGTTCCACAGTGTGGTGATTATTTTTTGTTTCTCTATTTCAGAGGCCCAAGGATAGGCAGTTGGTTTGGGTGGCTTACTGATACATTCTTTTTTTTTTTCAAAGATTTTTTTATTTTTTTCCTTTTTCTCCCCAAAGCCCCCTGGTACATAGTTGTATATTCTTCGTTGTGGGTCCTTCTAGTTGTGGCATGTGGGACGCTGCCTCAGCGTGGTTTGATGAGCAGTGCCATGTCTGCACCCAGGATTCGAACCAACGAAACACTGGGCCGCCTGCAGCGGAGCGCCAGAACTTAACCACTCGGCCACGGGGCCAGCCCCCTGATACATTCTTAAAGATACTAAATATTGTCATGAATTTGGGGGGGAAAGGAGCATGACATTTAGAGTTTTATGTATGCAAAGGAGTTAATGCTCCAAGGAAACTGATTCTAGGGAGAATTTTTATTGACACCTCCCATTCCAATCTCTTCTCTTAACATCCTCCCTTAACCTTTGAAGAAAGAGCAACATTATATTTGCTTGAGGGTAAAAAGAGGAAAGGAACTAACCTTTAATGAGCATCTGTTATATACTAGATACTTTCTCCTATTTAATTCTCTTTAATTCTCATAGTAATCCCATAAAATTGGAATTATTACCCTCCCCCCCCCCCTTTTGTTAACAGACCAAGGGAAGATCCATCTGGGTTAAATATCTACAGTTACACAGCTGGGAAACAGTAGATCTGAGTTTCAAATCTAGCTCTATAATTCTAAAACCCAGCCTGGTCTTTAGAATCTGGTAGACTGAGTCCAAATGGACTCAAGCAAGCATCATTGGTTACGGACTGTTGTGGGTACAGGAAGAAATTGGTTGTGAACAGTGTGTGGTCTCATCTTTTTCTTCTCTCTTTGCTCTGGAAGGCAGCTTCTTAATTCTGGCTCTCCTTAGGATCTTTTGGCTATGAAGAGATTGATTTGAGGCAGGGATACAAAAGTCTAATTCTTTTTCCTGTGCCATGCCAAAGTTGGATGGAGAGTTTAAACTCAATTTTCTGAATCTAGGTCTCAATTGGCATCAGGTTTAAGGCCACCCGTAGGCTGGCTTCATGGTTTCAGAGGACAGACTCACATAGGTGAAACTAGGTATCACTCTTAAAACCCCAGCCTCAGAAACCAAAAGGGTGGGAGGGAAATATAGTCATAACAGAACACATGACTGCTAATTAACCTTATTAACAACTGCAAACCAGTGAACATTTATATTTTTATTTTCTCAGAAAGGCAATTAAATTTTTTTTGCCTTCTATTAACTACCTTTTCCCCCCAGATAATCACCTATATCAAAACCAGCCTTTAAAGGGTCAGTAGAAATTATTTTAAGACATTCAAATATAAAAAAAGTATTGTTATTTTAATAGGCACTGTGGATAGTTTAATTTGTATCTTGTATTAAATTAAACATATGGTGAACAGGGTATAATAGATTTTCTATAATTTAGCTGCCAATGTGGCAACAGCAGCCAGTTACTCTCACCAGCAGACTTGTCAGTGGTTTGTTTACTAGCTTATTTGAATTAAAATAAAGCTCCGCTTCTGCTGACTGCACGTCATTATCTATGGGACCATAATCCTGCTGGCAAATCCTATATCTTCCAGAACTGGCTCTTTTGTTTGGGATTACTGAGAGCTTAGCCTATAACAAAGAGGAATAAGGCATCCCTCTCATCCTCATAATTAAGTGTGGGGACTAATTTAGAAACAAACCCAGAAAGATGTACTATTTGGAGTTATATTTCTATACAGAATGGAGGAGAAACAGGATAGGCCAAACACCTGATTGTTAACAGAATGTTTAAACTATTAAGCAAGTGTACTACAGGAATCCAGCTTGTTAAAATTAAGAGCAACAGCAAATAAGGCATTGATGGCCTTTGCACGGGGCAGGAATTCTGTAGGAAGGATCTGAAGGTATGTTTGGGAAGAGGAAGTATTAGGGTGTCAAGCAGGAAAAGTTGGGCTGTCTGCTTTGTGAGTGCCATTTATTTTGTTCTTCCATTATCCTAACAGGCTGCACCATTAATAGTTATTGTTATGAGCAGAGTTATTAAAATGCTGAATAAAAATAGCAAAACACTTTTTTATTCACTAGAAAAAATATAACTGTCATTGGAAATTAATATTTTACTTCCAAGGTGCATAAAATTTAGTGAAAAGAAAAGAATGGGTGATTTCCTGGCTCTTTCCCTACACCCAGTTCAAAACATATCTTCATGAATTCTGGTTACCCAATTCTATCTGTGTTTAAGAAAAGAATTTCACAACTAGGATGTATATAAAAACAGCTTTTACAATTCACCATCGATATATAAACTGATGCCTGTTTGTTAAAGAAGAGGGAAAACATGAGGGTTGATTTATCAATGTCTTTAACATTAATTGTCACAGATGGGGATTCTGAGGACCTCTGTGAAACCAAACCAGACCCTGGTGAATTATAAAGCAGGTCCTTAGACTTTAAAAACATTTAGGCAAAGTGACAGTTCAGAACATCTGTTAGCCTTCTGTCTGAGTATAGACTAGATGTCATGGAGTGCACAGCTGTAGGCATTTTAGGCTTTTTTGCCAACATCTGTCACAGCAGTACAATAATATAGGTAATTATCAACACCTTATATAAACTGTTTGCTCTTTTAATTTTCAGAAAGAGTAAAATTAGTGTTACAGTCCTTGGCAAAAATAATTGAGATGAATATAATCATTTTGCTCA